CCCCCCCCCCCCCCCCCCCCCCCCCCCCCCCCCCCCCCCCCCCCCCCCCCCCCCCCCCCCCCCCCCCCCCCCCCCCCCCCCCCCCCCCCCAAATTTCCACTCTATATACTTCAACACTCCTTTTAGATCGTGTTTTACAAAAATGTTAGAGTCGTTGAAACGCGTGAATTGCTCATTTTTGACTGCTTGGGATATGATAGACAAAAAGCAGATGCAAATACCAAGGACATACATGTTTCATTAGAGTAAATGTAGTTAAGATGAATTTTAATAAAACTGTGAATGTAAATATATATGAGGTTGTCGCCCATGGAATAAAAACATGGAAAAAATGGCATCTTTTATGATGAAACGGACATAATAATCCATGTATTTCAGTTTCATTGATTAAAATGGAAATTTTCACTAATTTCATCCCATGATTGCGAGTTTTAATAAAAGTCATCATAATGAAAACGATTGAAAAGTAAAGTTATGAATGAAATTGGTGGAAATCATTTTAAACAATGAAGATGAAATACATGCATCATCATGTCCGTTTCATCATGAAAAATGCCATTTTTTCACTCCATGTGCGGAGTGTGTAAACGCTGCATTTGACGAGTAATGGGAGTTAAATGTATTTCTATGAACATTTCTACTGCGATCCATTATGGAATCGTTTATGAGGAGCATTTAGCTATCTGAGCTTATATAAACGTGATGCAAATTGTGGACGTACAATAAGAATGTTCGCCTGTTTTTTAACTAGGTCGATCAACAGTACTCACACCTTCAAAATTGTTTCTTTGTACAAAACATGTAATTTCAATATTCTAAAACATAATGAACAAGGCGTAAACAAAAGATGTTTTCTTCAGTAAATCAGTTTTTGTTTTGTGAGATTTAGTGTTGTAATGACTTTCGTTGAGCAAGAGTAATTTTTTCCACAGTAAATTTCGTTGGTGTCATGTAACCTCTGTAAAAAAACTCACAGAAACAAAAACAGGCGAAATTAAATCAACAGAACAGAGAGATTTTTTATACTGCGACGATAAGAAATTTCTCACTGAAAACTAAAAACAGAAATCGTAGTTGACAAAAAAACAGTAAACGAGAGCAAAACAACATAACTATTCAGAGTGCTTTACCTTCAATTAGTTGATCCAGGTACGTATACTATTGTTAAATCTTGAAAACCGAGAGAAAATTATTAGAATAGAATATAATTCATGTCAGGATACGAAGAATATAGACTAGCTATTGACTTTCACTCTATTCATTAATTTATGTTATTACAAAGATATGCAACCAAAATTAATATACCATATAACAATGAGTTGCATAAGATCACATAAACAACACATGATTCGTTCGTAAAATTTGTCTACACATAAAATAATCGTGAAAACATTTTTGGTCAGAGCCGAACTAGCTTGCATGAAGATGTGAACAATGTGTGTTAAATGATAAGAAAAACTTCCCTTTATAGACAAATCTGTAATATTGAGAACAGAAAAAAAATAAGAGGGACGAATTTGGCCATTCACAGTAATGTAAAACAATTAAGAGTACGCCATCTCCACCCGAAACGCAATATGTCAAACTGTTCAATAGTGTGAATTCAGCAGTTGGAATTTCGAACCTTCTTTCAATTCATGTTAGTTACGGTGAAACTATCGAAAATATTTTTTAATCGGTAAATTTTTATCTCAAACGCTGTCTAGATCACTACAGGATAAACAGATATGTTTCACACAACTCATTGCTTCACTATGCTAAACTACCATCTATTTATTTGAGTCACTAGTACATTACCTAACAATTTTAAACATTAGAAAGTAATGTTTATTTATACGTATCATTGAGATTCAATAATTGGCAGTAGCGATAGTCATTTAAAGTAGTTATCCTAATACTGATGACTTTATTCTACTACACAGTATCATAAAATGTACCTAACTAGCAACAAAACCAAAGCTTGTTTTCTCTGAATACTTGAGCAATATTTTAATCAGAAATCAAACTATAAATATTTTCTTTTTTACCTCTAGGTAAAGATACACCACAATCGTATCATCATTTATTCCTTGGCATGACATCGAATAATTCAGGTAAAAAACTAATCTCTAACTACAAAAATGAACATATAAAAGATTTGATCATTTAAATGATTAGTTTGAATATTTTACTGATCGGTGTAACTTACATATTCTACACAAAGGGATTTCAAAATAAGAAAAATTCAGAGAAGAAAATTCATTTAATTAGTTATTGCGAAGGTTAACATTTCACGGCATTTTCGTGAATTCGACTATCCCGAAAACAAAAGCATAGTAACTGCATTACCTTTGCAAAAAATTAATTCTCTCAAGTTCGTTTCTAAACAATAACCGACATCGTTACATATCGCATTCTTTATGCTTTTCTTTATTTGAATCGTTTTTATGTATGTAAAATCCGTAATTTATTAAAAAAATATTTTAGACAATTATCGATTACTTCGAAAAATACACCTCACTTTGTTCATTTAATCGTCGTAATTCCCACCCTTTTAATCTCAATCATCATTTTTCGGTGGAAAAAATTGATTTAAAATGTTACAAAATAAGCAAATTTTTATTCCTAGAAAACACTCACTTGGGCTAGTGAACGATATCTTATATGAGTCATTAATTAAATAGTTAACTCTATTTTTTCTTTCATTATAGACTTCCTGGAATGTTCCAATAATTGTTCAGCCAAAGCTGTACTTTCGTGCAAGAAATGTGAGATAAACTATTGCTTGAAATGTAGCCATATTGTCCATGAACAACCAGCTGTAAGGGAACACGAAAGGATGCCCATTCAACAAAATCCGACCGAACCCGCGCGATGCAAAATACATCCGAATGAATATCTGAAATATTGGTGTTTCAGCTGTAATAGGGTGATCTGTCGGAATTGCCAACTGACTAAGGGTCATGATCATAAGGTTATAGATGTTATAGATATTGCGAGCGATGTAGAGAAAGAGGTCAGTATTCAATTGTACGCACACATGTCAAGCACAACACTACTTTTGTGGAATTTAGTTAAAGAATAAACTTGAAAGTGCACAATCATCCGTGGAGAAAGCTTTTGAAGATGCGGAAAAAGTGGTCAGCTCAAATAAAAATCTCAACAAAGACAAAATTACTGTTGTATTTACGTGCATTCGTGCAGCAGTTGATACGTGTGAAAGAGAGTTGAACGAATGTATTGACAATATTGATGATAATAATAAAGAGAAATTGGAAAAATATCAGCAAAATGTGACCGATGCAACCCTTAAACTCGAACAGTATAGAAAAGAATTGGAAAATATTCTTGTCAATAATAACTACGAAATGTTGCTACAATCGAGGGAAAACTTGACTGAAAACATAGACCAAATTGAGAAAGATCTGGAAAAACTAGAGTCATCTGTCGACATCAGATTTACTATAGAGAATATCGATAATTTACAAGCAGCTGTGAATGATGCTCTTAAAACTGTGAAGATCGTGCAGAAACAAGGTAACTTGCCTATTGTGAAAATCTTTCCTTTCTAATATCATGTTTCATTAACTTGAATGAAGAATGAATCAATGAGAATATTAAAATGTATATGTGGTTGCAGCATCATTCGAATAGGCTATGAAGCATAGATTTCTCACTAATACATTTTCTCAATTAACTGAAAGTAAGACAATTTAACGAGTCTGACAGAGTAGAAAGTTTTTTTTAATACTTGCTTTTCATCTAAGCAAGGTATCTAACATATTTGTATTAAGAACAGCAGATAGAAATAAACCAATCAGTATCTACACTTTGTCTCGAATGACTGGTTAGCAATTGCAATACATCTGATCATGATATCTTCGGGCATTGTATAAGTTTTATTCAATTTTAAATAGATTCAGGCTCCTCATCTCGGAAATCTTCAACTCACATCTATAGTGAATTTGTTTTTACAATCGAAACTATGAGATTCACTGGAAAGAGTTACCGGAAATTTATTCTTGAGCTTTAGAACACCATGAAATGCCTAGTTCGACTTCGAATATAAATCGACATCTGAATAACTATTCACAATTCGAAAATAAATGAAAATAAATCTCGCCCATTTAAAAACCATCCCAGAGCAAAAGATAAAGATCGTCAAACTGGCAGCCCATTTATAATTTAGAAATACATTCAGATTTCCATTTTTATAAATTATGCCACCAATAAAGGAAAAAATCGCTTCTTAACAAATATTCGGCTGACCCTATCTTCTAGCTAAAAGATACTACGGATCTAAAAATATTTTTGACATACGTATCAGCCACATATTCCTTTTATGCTACTCTCAGCTTAGTGAGGAAAACATTTTGGACTGAAACTTTCACCAAAATCGATTTAGGCACTTCACATTGAAGATTCCAGATAACCGTATTTCCTCCCCTGTTTTCTTCTCTCCAATATCTAACTATGTATCCAACGCTTTTAAAACGATTCACGACAAAGCCTTGAAGACGAAATTTGCAGCAACTAGTTTTAAACGAGAACGCTGAGAAGTTGAGACAGTATCTTCGACAAACGCAAACACATCCAATTACGTTAAGAGTGGGTGCGAGGAAAGGTGGGCCACGCGTCTCCACACAAACCCAACAAAGCAAGTGGTGGGTACCACGAAAAGGCGCACAAGTGCGAGTCCACAAACTAACCCACACCCGAATTGTATAATTTATAAAAAAGGAAATCTTTTCCCGGGGGTAGCGTGTAGGGGTGGACCATTTAATTTAATTCGAGTTAATTAACGTAAAATTACCACTCAAGGGCTGAACCATTTCAGTTAATGCTAATTTTAAATTAAAGCTAACGTACCACCCCTAGTTGCGTGAAAACATGAAAGTGGTTTTTTTCATTTACTTTCTAAGTCGAACTAGGCAGCTTCTCAAGCCATTCCCCACATGCTGATCCGCAACTGGTTAAATTGTTTAAATCTGTTAATGATCAAGGTACCACAATAACTGATCCAGAAATAATCACATATATTCGTGAGGTTTGTATCTTTGTTTCTCTCGTTTCATTTGAATCTTTATTTTGAAACTTATTTCAATAGCATATGGATCCAAGCGAAAAATTTTATATTCGAAATATTGTTTTATCTTATTTGGAAGCATGTTTAATTAATCGTGACCAACAAAAGAAAATTCAAGAAGATATTGCGAAAAAACGAATGACTGTACTAAATGCTATTATTGAACATAAACCAGAAGCAGAGATCCAAGCAGTTTATGCCATTCAAAATTTTGTTTATAAACTTGAACATCCACCAAGTAAGATTCAATGCCAATTATTCATCTCACATAAATTATATTTTCTATTTCAATTAAATTCCTTTTTATTAGGCAGATTTGACTCGAAAATAGATTTTTAACGAATTTTAGATTGCCTCTTTCAATCTGAAAGTATCTATGGAGATTACAGATCGTATACTATTCATTAGAATATCGAAGAAACGAAGTAAAAGTGGTGTCGAGAAATTTATCTTACAACAGTTTCTGCTATTGATAATAATGTCGACGTTTTATCCTATATTTCATCATACGTATTGAATATAGATCTGATCGTATTCGGTGTTTTGTCGAAACGCAACAGAATAATATTGAGATGTGTGCCATTTTCAAACTATTTTTTGTTAACATCGTTTGTTGAATCATGACTTATTAGGATATGCACGAGTTTAGTCATCAGCTGCTGAAGCCAATAGAGCAGACGGAATCATTTGAATGAAACGATAAACTTTACTCGTTTTATAGAAATGGTTCGACTACTATTCGATATATTTTACGATGAAGAATGTGTGAGTGAAGACTCATTTTTCGAATGGCTTAAACATCCAGATCAATCAGAAACAGAAGGTAAATCAATAAAAACAAAATTCATAATAACAAAAAGAATCAATTAATACAATCTGTCGTTTAGGACATGCTATTGTCGAAATATCAACTAAAGACTTTTTTACTTGGTTACAACAAGCTGAAACAGCACTTGAAGAAGGCGAAGAAGAAGAAGGAAGTTAAATTCGTATCATCAAACAAGGGAAAAAAAGAAGTGTTCTAATGATTTGTTATTGTTATTCTTTCTTTCTTGTTTGTTATTACACAATGTGTTTTTGTTTCGTTTTTTTTCTCATTCTCTTTATTTATTTTCTATTATATACTGAAAACTATTATATCTGTATACAGCGCATGCGATTGATCATGGATTATCTTGTCTTGTCGTCTGATTTGAACGTCAAAAACTGTGACTTTTTCTTTTCTTTTTGTCTTCTCTGTGTGTTTGGTTTGTTAAATTGAAGTATTCATATGATTTATTTCTTCCTTTATCCTATTCATTCTTTCAGTTGTGACCGCTATATTTCGTTTGTTTAAAATTTGATTTGTTGTGTGCAAAAACAGTACTTGAACATGGAAAAAAATCCTCGTATGACTTTTTTCTCGGTGTACATTTAGAATTGAAGCACACAATTAAGAAAAAGCTAAACAAAAATTTTCAAACCTGATCAACCGAATATTTGCAACAGCTGAAAACTAAAACATTATCTCCTATAAACAGTACGTTTTCTTTTTTTTTCTTCTGATTTTTTTCATGTTGTTATTGGCTGGTTTTTCCTTTTTTTTCTATTCACCAAGCAATAAGAAAGAAAGAAACACAAATATGACGCTTCTATCTGCGAATGCGGGAAACATGATGATACTATTGAATTGGCTATTTGAAATAGAAGTCTGAAAACCTAAGAACAAAAATGAACGGAAATTGAACTTCTCTCTATCATATATGGGCAAGACCTAGCCCTGTAAAGCAATATAGAGATTAAAGTTTTCTAGTTGTCTAGATTGATGTTCAGAAAATCAGATAAACAATATGGAGAATTTCAAGTGAATTACTAATTATGAAACACTGTCTATCGAATTGGTTCAATTTGAATGAAAAAGTATGATTATTATGATTGCTGAATACTATGATAAAGCTTGATTTCTAGTGTAAATTATGACAGAATTAAAAGATAAAAGTTAGCTAGATAGTCAATTGTCGATTATGCCTATTTAGTAACTTCTTAGTCTATTGAATTCAAGTTTTGAGAAAAACAATTGCATATTTAAGGAGAAAAGTGTGAATTGTCACAAAAAAATTATCTATTACACAATCACTCGTATGAAAAGAACAGTCACTGATTCTATATCTTTCTAGGACAGGTTTGTTACATTTTGTTTACTGAAAACCGTGACATGATTCATTCTATGAATAATCAGCAATAACATTTGATGATTCACTACATCTGCAAAAGTTTACTTGCACAATAATGATGAAAATGGCGTTATTCAATTTATTTTCAGTTATTGTGTCTGAATATAGGTGAACTCTTTCACTTGTTTTCATATCAGAACAGTTACTATGTCGACATTCGATGATTTACCAAACGAAATCATAATATGTCTCTTCGAATATTTAAAAGTAGAGGATAAATTTCATTCATTTTTTGACTGCAACCAGCGTCTAAGACAATTGGTTAAACGTTATAGTATTTACAGTCGTCATGGACTTACCGGTGATATTAAAAGATTTTCAACATTACATAGTTGGTACAAACATTTGAACTACGTTGATGATGGTAATATATTTTATATGATACCGATGGCAGGTGAACAAGCGCGATATGGATTTGGTCCATGTATTTCTGATTACAGGGGTATTCATTGGCATTTTTTTACCAACAATCCTGAGATAATAGCTGACCCAAGAATAGGAGAAATAGTTTCAAAATATCCGGTTAAACTGAATCCTTGCTTTTATCCGGAGTCGTCTAATCTATGTAGAAACACATCTGGATTCAAAGATTTTACTTATCGGCATTATCCAGCTCAGTTTGGTATACTATCAAAGGAATATTTTAGTGAATTTGACAGTCAATCTATGGGCAGGCTTTATTCTAGGAAGGATACAATCATGGCTCAATTAGAATTCATTTCAACAAACGAGCAAAAACGTTTGAAAACTACAATAATCAAATCAGCCGATTGTATATGGAAAGACTTACAAAACCTCGAAGATGTGAATATACTTACGATAAAATATCATGAATAAATTGCATCATGTACGCAACGTGCCTACAGTGTTTAAGTCTTTTTTTTCTATCACTTATAAAAGGTAATCTGATGATAGCCATCGTTCGTGTGTCTGATGAAAGTTGGATGTGAGTGTGGTTTGATGAATATCAAGTTGAGTGTCATCGCTGGTATTCTATTAAATTTTACCTACTGTTATTATTGATTCTCTTTCAATTCGTTTACCAACTTAAGATGAATCAGTTTTGAAGAACTTTTTTAATGCCAATCGCTACAAGGTGTTGTAATTCAATGATGAGTATTGTTGGAGAATTCACAATTCTCATTGAAGTTCATTAGCGGAATTTTAGTTTCTAAATCGTGCGACGTATTATGTATCTAAAACTAAAAGAAAATTTGTAACATATATCTTTCAACATAAACAATGATAACTTGAATATAAATGATTGTAGAACAGATATTTTATATTGAACGATAGGTTTTACTAGTAGTTCTGAATTTAATTAAAAATGAAAATAAGGTGCTTGAATGGACCTAACTAAAATTTCTATGAAGATATCCTTGGAAAAAAATAATATAAGTACAAACTAAACTAATCCTGAATATTAATCATTCTATTGCTCTTTCAGTGTGGATTCTGACTCGTACGATCAAACGTACCGTTGTCACATAGTTTAAGTTTAGTTTAGGTCTAATTCTGACGTTTCTCACGGATCAGTTTTTCTTCACATGAAAATATATTTTTATTCAAGATCACTAGTATTGGAAAATGATCGATATCTTTCATTGTAACAAAATTCGCCCGTGTACGTGTCAGGTTTAGTTTTTAACATGGAAAAATGACAGACGTCTCAAAATTTGTTTTGAAAACTTTAAAAATATTCGCGCAATTTTCACAATCATCAATAAAAACATCTTGAAAAGAGACAAAGAGAAAATGTTTTTATTATTATATGGTATCTCTCATAATTCAGGATTTGCTTTAAACAGATAATAAAAGAAAGTTTATGTCGAATGAACGTGAACTTGAATCAGTTCATCAACGTGATGAAATTCTTCATGAAACCATGGCTCTCACGACGAATGTTGTTCAATCTCTTGAACAACAACAAAAACTTGCATTTGATACACAAGAAAATTTACACAATCAAAATTTTTTATTATCATTAGCTAATGATAAAATGCGTTTGATGAATCAAGATTTAACATCTGTTGTTAATGAAATGAATGAGATCGATACGAAACATGGTTGCTTATGTTTTACTCCAAGAAAACATAAGAGAAAAAAGGTTGAACGACCGATTGATTCAAAACCAATAATTATATCGAATACAGATGGAAAACCATCAGAAACAAATAAAAACACGTCCACTATACCACAAATAATTGATCATAATGAGCAAGAAAAAATAATTGCAAATGAATTAAATCAGATGAGAAAGCAATTAGTGATTTTTCAAGATCAAATTAAAACTATAAACAAGTCATTTGAAGAAGGTGATGATATTATTCAACAACTTGGCAATGAAACAAATCAATATATGTATGCTAGTTAGTATTTCCTAATCGAGCGATGTAGTTAGGTAACAGAGGAACTGAGTCAATTGTACTCTGGCGCAAGCCCATTACTTTGTTATAATTGAAATATTGGTTACATCACTAGTCTTTTGAATTCAATGAAAAAAAGAAATCAGTTTCATTTTTTAGTTACTACTGCATTGAATAAAGCTGAACAAATACTTGGCAGAAAATTTGTCGTCGCTCAACAACAACAACATCAACAGGCTATAGCACGCGAACGAAAACAAGAATTCGATACATTAAATAAGCCTACTTAAATGTGGGTGTGTATGGGTTAGTATGTCAGATGGTTACCAACTCAGATGAGGTTAATTCATCTAGTTGCTATTAAACTATATAGTTAGTTAGGATAGAATTATATATCTAGAATGGATCAGATTTGATTCGATATTTTTCGGTTAAATTTTTTATTCGGCGAAAGTGTATTAATTCATAAAGCTGACAAAAAATCGATATCTAGCTGTCATTTTTAACGATTATACACCATCAACTGTATTCTCAATTATTCGGCATAAAAAAAAACTTCGACAAAACCGTTATTTTATATTGTTATCTTCTTTTTAGCTTATTCGAATCTTAAGAAATCTACAGAAATCGACTTTTTAGATAGATTCTTGTTTGTACATTAGAATAATATTCTTCTAACATAAGAAAAAACAAAATTTGCGGATTTGACATCAATATTTCATGTAGAAATAATTATCCTAATTATGTGGATGCAATATTCAAAGCTATTTACTACTCAACCAAGTCATTTGTTCATATTATTACGCTGAAATTAGAGATTTTTAATTTCACACGAGTGACATAGATTTTATTAGTCAGCGCTCAACTATTATTTTCTATCACTCTCATTATAAATCTAGCAAAGCTAGGACAATTTTAGAAAATTCGTCAAAACCGTACAGCAATCGCTGCCGAAGAGTCCCCTAAGGGGGAGTCAGCGGTCACCGATCAATCCATCGGTCTACACCTCTATTTCGGAGCGTCATGTCATAAGGGGAGTATCTGACTATTATAATGCATTCGGCGAATCTATCACAGCTAACTCATGTATGTTAAATGATAATTATCATTTTCACGATACAGCGAAGAGCGAATGTCTGTTACTCACTCTGAAACGTGATGTGAAATTTCAATGTATTGGTAACGAAGATTAAACTGATTCCAGTGAACAGGTGACTCATATTCAGCAACTAGCTTGCTCTGTTTCACGTGACGGTAGATGAGAATTCTTTTATTGGATCCATGAAAGCGACTAAAACCAATGCGAGCAATGACCATGTATTAGTCAGCGTTGTTACAATCTTCTTTGCTCAATTTGAAAACACTTAATCGATCTAATTCTTCAAAAATCATATGGCAAATCAAAAACCGGCTTGTGCAACATTTGTTACATCTTCTTCTTATTCTTATTATTAAATTCTCACAATAAGTAATCCCGCCCCCATTACTTTAAACGTTAACACTCACTTAAATAGAATATATACGAGAAGAAGAATGGAACGATTGCAAACGTGATGCAATGAAAACGAGAGAAGAAGAGAAAACATACTTATGACAGGACAGATATCTCCTGACATAATAAATGTGCACACCACTGTAATGGCGTATATAACTGCCAGTCGAAATTTCAATTTCTTAAAAATCACCATTCGTGTATTTTCCCAAAGGCTCAGATTATGGGGCGTTTACATCTGATTTAGACAGAAAATGGGATTACGGATTGTCTTGGAGGGATAGATGAAAATACATTCTATGATTTACTCAGTAGATTCTATCGAATTTAAATGAGATACATAGAAGTTACTGAAGAAGAGCATAGTCTTTGTAGAGCGGAATCGTGCCTCTCGTTTGATGAAAATATATGCTGCCGATAAGTCAATATTAATAAGAAAATGGCTTCTACTCAACATCAATTTGTCTTGATCAGCATTATTATTTATTAAAGTTGCATAGCGCTCATCTCTCTGGTGTGCGCTGACACCATTCATGTAAACATAAACATTGACACGTCCAGTAAACTCAGATCAATATAGCATGATTCATCTATGTTTTGTAGTTTCGAAATGCCATCTGTCCTTCACAGAAAAGAAAGAAAAATCGTTTGCCAGTATCATGCGATAGAAATGATTGCCCTCTATCTCTTAATGTGTTCATTCTATGTTTACAATAATGTCACGAAAAAAAATCAATGATGGTCTGGAGGGACGTATTTTAGCTGTACTGCAACTAAAATACTCTCAGCCACAAATAGTTAAGATTTTGAAAAAAGATGGAATCAATGTATCTCAACAAACTGTATCTAACATTAAACGAAATATTGGTCTTCAACGTAATTCAGTTGAAAAAATTAAATTTTCTCAACAGCGACCAGTGGCTACGCCATCGACCGTATCAAAAGTAATTCAAGCAATTGACGTTAATGATCCTCCTACTCAACGTTCTATTGCCAAATCTTGTTACGCCAGTCAATCTACTATCTCAAGAATCATCAAACAAACCAGTTTCACTCTTTGAAAAAAAACAAAAAGTTCATAAACTAACACCATCGAACGCTGAAAAACGTCGTCGACGTGCACCTCGACTTTATCGACAATTAGCTAATAATCGTTACAAAAAGTTCATAACTACCGATGAATCTTGGTTCTATCTCGATGGTACTGAAGGAAAAAGAAAAGTTTGTTACATAAAAAAGTCTGATCCGGATTATGAAAAAATGATACTTCAACAAGATTCGTCTCGTCCACAAGGATTTCTGGTATGGGCTGGCATCTCATCTTATGCTAAGACCTCTCTTCGTTTTGTTAAACCTGGTGTCAAAATTAATTCAGATTACTACATTAACAATATTTTGAAACCATTTTTATCACGGGACGTTCCTCGTTTGTTTTGAAACAATAAGCAAAAGAAACAATTTCCCATCAAGACAACGCTCCTAGTCACGTTTCGAAGAAAACAACCGCCTTTTTGAATGCATCAAAAATAAAATATGTTAAACCAAAAGAATGGATGCCTAAGTCACCAGATGCAGCTCCAATGGACTATTCGATCTGGGGGTATTTGAAACAACGGCTGAACAAACAGAAAATTGAAAGTCTAAGCGAACTGAAAAAAAAAACTTTCATTCCAGTGGACAAAGATGGATCAAATTTATATTGATAAAGTTTTAGCGCACTGGCCAAAACGAGCATTTCTTATATATAAAGCTCATGGTTTTCATATAGAACATCATTTGAAATTGTAATGTTTTTGTTTCTTCCATAATAATGAAAATAAAACTACTAAACATAGATGAATCAACCTGTATAAGTACCCACGACTCGGATCCATCCAACAGTCAATACATATTTGCCTCTTTCAAATGTGTGCTTGCTCTTTTGAAGCTTGAAATTTACATACAGGCGCGCAATGCAAACAACAAGAGTTTCAGTAATGAGAAAAAAAGAACAAAGAGAGCGGAAACCTTTTACAGCGAATAGTATGAACCTCAAAAATTTGAGTAGGTGTATCATGATGAAGCACTTTCAAAACTATGATTTATTTCACTGATGAAAAAAAAAGAAATGAATTAGAGGAACGACATTCGAGCAATTGAAATAAAGAGTTCTTTCATACCGTTACATAAGTGTCAAGCCCAGTGTAACAATACAATGGGAGCTGTTCTCAATCGACAACGATCGGTAGAAATAAGTTTTTATTAAGAGAATTGTTGAAACGTTTTCACAGCATATATCTATTATTTTGTCAAAAGGATGCTGAACTACAATCGCCAGTTCTTGCTTATGAAGCAACAACAAACAATCGTTATCATTCCATACCGGGTCTCACAACGTTACCATATGGTTATGAATCACGAGTCAGTTAACAATTTTGATTGTAAGCATGCATTTTATTATCTATTAATTTGATTTCAGAGCAGTAATTTTGGTCACAGATTTAATACATTTGCAAGGCCTCATGTAAGCGTGAGTACTGTAAAAACTGATTCGACTGATTATCATTTTTATTCTCGTCAATCGATAATACCATCAAACGGTTCCAAAGATATTCTTCGGCAGGTTAGTTACGCTACTTGAATAGATGATATTTTTTGAATTATTTGAATATTCACAAGAGCTTTATTCAATCGAATTTTCGACAAAGTCCCTTTGCTATACAGAGAAATATAGCTGAACAATGGCCAGGTAACAGAGCACTCACTCATTCTGACTCACATTTGTCTGGAAAGCAAGATATCATAGTATTTCATTTTTGTTGAGATTCATTTATAATAAACTGATATTCAATTTCAATCAGGTGCCTAAAAATAGCAACTTCACAGCAAATCGATATATTAGGTCATCAAACTTTGGCCCATATAGTAGTCAAGGATACAACGAAACTGACAAAAATGTGCCAACATCTCAGAAGGTACATTGTTCATTTCTAAATATTTGTTTTTCTTTTACTATGACGTCCTAGACTAATATGTTTAATGGCCCCTTCTCTTCATCGTCGTCACCCAATAATCGACGTGCTTCGCCTGTGAGTCTAGTTTGGTTTCCGACGTTTATTAATCATTTTACATTGATACATTGTAGAACTCTACGGATATAGATTGGGCCAGTGCACCCTATGAATACCGTCGAGGACAACAGGCAAAGAAAAAGAAGCAAACGTATGAATCAATATATAAATCGATTTATCGAATCTTGTTGAATTTTGTAGAAAAATGAATCGTCTTTGTTACTGCGGTTCACCGTTGTGTATATTTGCTACTATAGTAGGAGCTATTTTATTAGCCGCCGCGATTGCTACGCCGTTAGCTGTGCTGTTGACCGCTAATAAATCATGTAAGACAAAAATATATAAAGGTGACCAGCTTATCCGATTGAAGCATAAGTTCTGCACGTTTTTGTTTTTTGGTCCAACAACAAATTAATTTTTCAACAAAAATATTCTCTTTTCGTTATATATCCATTTTTTTCGTTCTTCTGTGTTCTTTCATCCCACAACTATACATTTATTTCTGTTCTCTCAAGGCCAAACAAACATGGATATTGACCTTGCTCTTTCCTGCTTACTACGTAATTAGAATGGGAAGCTCTTCTACACTCGTCGTGATCACCAGACCTCTCACCAACCGATTATCATCTGTTCCTATCTCTTCGTAACTATTTCTGCAATAAGCACTATGAAGACTTTGATGAGCTAAAATCCGACCTGACTGCCTTTTTCGAATCAAAACTGGCTAGTTTCTACAGATGTGGAATTGAATTATTGCCAGAAAGATGAGCAAATGTTGTTGAAAACAATGGCGATTATATTGCTGATTGATGTTTGTATATCTTTGTTGAAACATAAATGTATTGTTGAACCAAAAAAAGAAACGTACAAACCTTATGCGCCAACCGGATAGCTAGCCCGAAATGCTCACACTACCTACAAAATTGTAGGTTAGAAACAGCATTCATGCACTATATCACTGTGTAATTTTTCTATTGATGTCCTTAGACTAAAGCTTGATCATAGGCATAGTTAGTAGAGCAGAATATTTACAGAAAATCAGATAGAGACTATATTAAAAACATGATTTAATACTATTCGATACCTAACGAGAAGTTTAACAGTAAGCTACGATCAAAGTTACTAAACTTCTTTGAAATCTATTCACTCGGAATATTTGATGATCTAATAGTTCGTTTGTGTTGGTGGTAGTGGGTGTGGGTGTCCAGAACATCAACACTCACACCCACACACCCACTCAATAGTACTTCCTTTGATTTTTTCATCCAAAAGCTGGAATCACCCTGTTTACAGTAGCTCTTTATACAATAAAATGCAACCAAGGCTTGCATAAGTTACTTTTATGAATATTTACAGCTACTACGGTGCAAACCTGTGGAGCTACATGTCTCAATCAAACATGGATCCAATCAACAAATCTTCTTGCTAAATGGCTTTTTGATGGAGACTTCGTCGATCAAACTAACGCCTACAATGCGACCGCAACAAATAGTCCATCATTCACAACAACCAGTTATAGAAATCAAGCTCTGAGTTTGAATTCTGCTAGCAGTCAACATTTAACAGCACCATACGTGCCTCTCTATATGTCAAGTTTTACAATTGAAATTTGGCTTTATCCGACTGGTTATCCCAATGTACTCGATCACAGTATCATAGGTCTGTGTCCAGTAGCCGCAGCCCAAAATTGTTTGTTTTTTGCAATACGAACTAATGGCTCTAAGCATTATTTCTATTTTGGATTTTACAGTAGCAACGATATACTTGGCACTATTAATGTCAAAGCAAATGTTTGGGTTCATGTTGCATTTGTTTTCAACCAAAACACATTAATACAATCAATCTATGTTAACGGATACCTTGATACTAGTGGCACAGCCTTAACTCCTCTACTTTCAAGTTCAGGCGATGTTGAAATTGGTTGCGTTCAAAATATTGCATCAACCTATGGAAGCAACTACTTTGAAGTATATACAAGTTTTATTTTCTTACTCTAATCTATCAGAAACTGTAATTAGTGAGTAGCTGTCTTATTTGAGTTCGAATATAAATGGAGAAAAGAAAAAGTTAAACGAAAACTAAATCTAGGAATAGATTTGGTTTTAGTTTAGCTGTCCGATATATGCAACATATGAATACATATATGGCCCTACAATCACACCCACACCCCAATGTATACAACCCAGCCCCCCCCATTCTGGGTACCCCTCCTATTCACCCTTCACTTGCACCGCCACCCACAGTTACCCCTTAGTCTCCCTCAATCCACGCCCACTCCATCTTAAACTGAATCTAAATCTAAAACTAATCTATTTTTATCACTTATTTTCGAATTGATACCATGCAGTTGGGTGTCCATTTATATTTAAATTCGAACTAGGCATCTCATGATATTTTTAGGGCTACATGGATGAGTTAACCATCAGTAATCGCGTGAAATCTTCATGCGAAATTCTTGAGGATTTTTCATTCGGTGCTCAGTTCAAATTCAATAGCGGATCGTCGCTGACTGACTCCGGTCCCAACTCTCTTGTCGGAACAGATTTTTCCACATCATTTGATGCAGGTCATTCCGGCGAATCGATTTCGTTCAATGGATCCGCTTATTTCCAAATCTCAAGTGTTCCCTGTGTTGCTATGATCAGTCAAGCTTTCTCTCTTGCGCTCTGGATACAGCCAAATTCTCGCGTCGGCACCTTGGCGCATGTGTCCACGGACCCATTAGGTAGAGGATCATGTGCTTCATTCCTTGGTTTCTATACCAATGGTAGATTGGCTGCTCAAATACTTAATGGTGGCCCTCCTAAATTTGTGCTTGCGCCATCTCTTATCGACCTTTCGCCGAATTGGACTCACGTCGTACAAACATGGAGTAGTGCCAACGGATTACGGCTATATGTCAACAATGTTCTGGTGGCATCGAATAGCTCACTCAGTTCTTATCGAACGCCTTTTACATCACCAGTTTATGTTACTTTAGCGAATAGTCTTACTGCTTTGGGCTATTGCTACAATGCAGCTATTGACATGGCAAATGCATTCAATGGTGATATTGATGATTTCAGGGTATATTGTAGAGAACTAAGTGTCAGTGATATCTGCACTATTTACAATAGCTAGTTTATGTCTCTCGTTATCGATACATTTTAACATGACATTTTATCGCTTTTCCGTAGTTGAAAATATATTTATTTGTCTCTTTTTCAACACTAAGATCGACACAGCTGGGGTGGTCTTAATAGAAGACGGTATTGTTCTTCTATTTTTCACGATGTAAGAATAATGTTTGTATTTTCTGATGGAGAGTTCGCGTTGTCTTGCAAAGATATATAAAAAATTTACTAATTGAGAAGCTTTTCAATAAATAAAGGGGTTACGCATATGCCTTATGCTTTTGGAAATAGGATCCAAGACAATGATAACAGCAGCAAGAACGGTCAAAAACGATACAGTATTTTGTCATAAATTGGTTTTTGGTAGAGGCAGGACTATGAGCGCTGTTTTTATCAAGCCATACTCGTTAGTAGCGGTGGTTAGAAATCAAGTTTATTTGACGTACTGATCATCGTTTATATTTTTATCGACAAATACTACTTGGCTACATCGAAAAAACAGATTTCTCCTTTTAATAAAGATAATGAATACTTCTGGCAGTCGATCTGCTGCGAACAAATATTACTTATGGTGCACATTAGTCTTAATATTGTTTTTGTTGCTAATTGCTTTATGACTAGTATATGATAACAAACTATAAAAAATAATACAGATGTAATAGGTTAGGCTTTCAAAGAGTCACAAAAACATGGAAACAACCGAAATGAAAGAAAAGAAATATCTGATGATGAAATAGAAAATAAAGTTTTCTTTTATAATTTTCATATCAAGCCACAATTCTCAGAATTATCGTTTCTGAAAAGTATCTGTCTTATGTCGTACTTTCATACATCCTACATTATATCGATGAATACACTAAAAATAGTAAAATCTCTACGAGTATAAATTAATGCTTCTAATTTCTCGCGTCGTTTTGAGGTGAAATATTGAAAATGACAAAAAAAGTGTTGATTTATTGTTTGACTAAAACATCCATCTAATTAAGTTCCATTCTGAAGTATTACGGGGGGGGGGGGGGGGGGGGCGCCCCCCCCCCCCCCCCCCCGTTAAACTCAACGCTGACTTTGTTGGAGTTACATGTGAATATTCTATCTTTCTACAATCAATTTCTTTTTCATATCAAATACAGATATTTTAAGCGTAGAATTTTTGTATAATTGCTTTACATATAGCTATTTCCAATCATAATATTTAACACATTGTATTATTCTTAGAAGTAAATCTTTTACGAACTTCATTTAATCTTCTAGAAGCAACTCGGTCTAGTTATTTTTTGTAGTATTATTTTAAGTCAATGATCTCACTAATAGAAAAACATAAACAGGAGTTTACTTAAAGTTTCACAATGGCTAAATAAGCTTAATTATGATTGTTAAAAATCTCATTTCTATATGAACACCGAATTTAATTGGTCAAATTTCAACTCTGAAGACTCGTACATGAAAAAAAAACATAGTTAATTATTTGGCCAACATGAAGAACCGCGTAATGAAGACATTTATTTTTCAATTAAACCTGATTTCTCAACTGTATCAAATTTTGACATTATTCATGTGACCAAATAAAATTTACAAAAAGAAATAACTAGTAGACTGAACAATACTTTCGAATAATTAAGTCTACTTGAGTATAAGGGTCGTGAACTCTTTTATACACTTTAATATTGCTTAAAATCAACATTAATGAAAAAAATAAAGTAGCTACGTGTCTTAAAAATTATTGCAGTCATCTAAAGTTTGTTTTTTCTTATTTTTCAATAAAGGCATTGAAAGTTTACCCTGAAATCACATGATCAAATCGATAGAATCCGTTTCTGATCTTTGGTTTGCTATATGATTTTTTTACAGCAAGCCATTCTCAACGATTCAAGGTTAGCAAAACACAGACTGAAATAAAAGCTGGGCACTTCTCTATTTATTTCATTTAAACATCGCTGTTAAGAAATCGATGTTTGCCGCATTGATTGTTTGATTAATATTGCATTTTTCTAATTAACCGAGATATAAAAATATCCATTTAATTAAAAAATGAGTATTTGTGGAAACTTCCAATATGTTAAATTTTCAAAACGATTGTTCGTTTTACTTTAAAAATTTGATTAATTTCAATAATCAGCAAGAATATATCAGACGTTACTTTGTATTTTCAACTTTACAGAAATTTCATCTGGTTAACATTTCGATTGATTTTTCTACAACCAAAATACACATGTTGCAGGCTGTAATGCTTCTATTTACATAAGTTGATGTTGCAAAACAGTCACTGAAAAAAGAAATATCTTGTAAGTCAGGTACTTCGTGACTTGTTTTTTTTTCAGTTTAATACAGCTAGTGTTTTCCGAATTGCATCATGCACCGTATTAAATTTTAAAAAGTGAATGATACAGATCACAAAGTCTTTCAAAATAATATTGGTGGTAGAGATAAAAAAAAAGCTACCCTGCTACTTACTGTCAGAAGATATTCTATCTAACAATTTATTTCTCCTATTATAAATTCTTAGGTATATTGTTTGTTGATGGTATAAGATTCATGAGCTATATATTTGTTTTTCTTTCTAAAGACATGAGCAGTCACATGGCAAAAACGTTATTATAATGTCAAATAGTACTGAATCCAGTTATACGGATAATATTACAGGGTTTTCTGGGCTGACCTTGATCAACATTGTTGATTTATCACAACAATTTTCAACAGATCCACAAAAATATATATTCCATTTGAGACCGACTGGATAACAGACATGGGAAATGTACGATTTAAGAGATATGCAGGGCATTCAGGCTAAGATCCTTGATCAATTTGTGATTTAAAGTTATATTTTTAGTTTTGATAAATTATTAATGAGAGGATGAAATTATTATACGAAATAATAATTATTGAATGATAGCTGAATCAGAACATACACAAATATTTATCATCGAAACCATTTTCGTTTTCGATTGTCATACGATATCACAAAGATCGATTTTATTTTACCTTATAAATTGAAAATATCAAACCCTGACACACATATACCTTTGATATTTTATCTTATACGTGCTTAGAAGAATATTTGAGTTCCTTGGTACGGTACGATTTGCTTATTAGATAAAGAAAAGAACGGCAGGGATGTTATTCATAATCGCAATCGTATAGACACTGATATCCGCACTCTGCGCATTAATCTACTCACATGTTCACAAAAACTCGCGATAAGTTTTTTGGATAATGATGTCAATGGACTTTTTAATTTACAGTATTGGATAGAAATAACTGAATCTTCTTCCACGAATAAAGTGATTTACGAGAGTAGATGTTACTATTATGTAAATTTAATAGAAATTAGAATAAAAAAAAAGAATATAGATTAATGTCGACATTAAAAAACATCAAAGCACAAAGATAGAATAGAAGTTATTTCTTCTATTAAATAAATTATATTTTCTGGAATAATGACGTGAGTGATAAGTAATTTTAATTAGATGTCAGCTATTTTCATTATGGACACATCTTGATTGATTAACAATAGTAATTGTATGCACTTGTGGATGTGAATTGTTTGTTGACTTCTAAACTTTTGCAAGGAATATTGGAACCAAGGCTAGCGTAAACTATTCACGTTGGAAACCAAGTGCATTGTTGAATTGGAAAGTATTGTTGGTGATCATTGTATGAATGAATAGAATAGAACTAGAAAGATTTTCTTGATCTCTGCCTGCAGAAATTGAAAATTTTTCATGTTGAAATAAGTCACATTCTTGTTACGCTAGCTTAGGTTCCATCACCAAATTAAGGCATTACTACAGGATAACAACAAAGGCAGGGCACCATTTGGCCATTTGGTCCTGGAACACATTGAATACAACAGCAGCAGCATACGTACATTATTTCTTTTTGTTTTTTTGTTACTGAGAAGACGCTGGAAACTGTAGAAAGGATCGTCGATTCACTTGTCGGTTTGAGAAATAAATTAAAGTGAGGATAGCTGAAAAATTTATATGGTTTTATATTGGCAAATACTTCCTAGAAAATGATTCATATTTTTTCCAACATAATTAAAATCATCGCTGACGCAAATATACATGTTAGCCATTATGATTCAGTTGAAAGATTTTATCACATCACTCAGGGATGATTCCCATCGAAAATGAATAAAAAGGATGACATATGTATGATTATAAAATTATAGAAAACGCGTTGAGATACTTGGAAAGTGATGCACATATGAAATGTTTTCGAAATCGTGTAAGCGATAGGAAGTCACAAAGGTAACAGTCAATAGGCTACGCTTTAATTATAGTGTGATCAATTTAATGAAAGATGTGGGGAAAACCACCAGTGCATAACTGTATAATTGGTTGTTATCAGTCGAAACTATCCATCGACTTTTTGCAAACCTATATGTGCGTATTTCCTTTTTATACACCTCACAATCATTGGTCCTTGTATTAATTCTCCTTCGTCTATGTATCAAATATTATCAAGCAGAATCAGGGAGAATAGCTGTAATTGTATTCGGTTGTCGTCTGTCAACATGTAAAAACTTCAAACTATACTCAAGCTTGAGAGATAGAAAATTATATTTGAGTGATCAAAGTTCATTTTGAATATTACCAAGCTTTCCAATCGTAGTGTTTGACAATGAGATAAAATATTCATATTCATTTACAGCAATGCAAGTAATCTCAAGCAGCTTGACTTTCATCCCTTCATTATTTGAACTAATCAACTAAATGAATGTTTTTCTAAATAAGGTATGCGTGCAGTCGTATACTTTTCAGTCTCAATGATTGATATATGCGAGATGAAAAGTTGTTGAAGCTTTCAGCAATCAATTAGATGCATTATCTAAACATAGTAACATTGAATATTATACACCAGCAAACCAGTCACATTGGCGAACTATATAATTATAAAAACAAGTGATTTCATGTAGTATTATCAACTTATTGGCTACTTTGATAAATGAAAAATTTGATCATACATTGAATTCTTCCAATTTTTGATGAAATATACATTACTCATATTGCCAATAAGATGGTATTATAATCATACTTTCAGCAATACCAAAGATTCAAAAATGTCTACTCTATCTAAAATCCTCTGATAATACGTCGGATTCTAAATACAGAATGTAATTTATAATCTATTAGTAGTTGTAGAAATAAAAAGCGCATCAACAGGATAAAATGTTTTTATTTTATTTTTCTCTGATATAGATAAAACAAAAATTTGGATAGATTTATATCATAGAGATCAAATATCATTTCTTCTTATAACACGAGGATCGTTATCTCTTTCAGTATAGACCTTTGTATTTTTGATAGAATTTCTCTTTTGCTTTCCTAGTATTATATTGAAATCAACGTATATTAATGCTGCTAGAACTTTTTTGAAAAAAAGCTTTCTTTTGGGTGGGTGTGGGTGTCCAGAACATCAACAGCCACACCCAAATATTTTCGTAGCGCTCAAAGAAATGAAACTGATTTTCTTTACACTATTTTTCTCTGACAGACAGAAACCATCGCCTAGCTGTCTCCACACATCATCATTGTGTAACATGTAGATAGAAAACTTTTTGATAAGACTCAACATGATTTTTTAAACGCCAAGTAATATAATCATATGTTTCAACGATATTCAGAAACTTATTTGAGAAATATTAGCTTATATTTCTCGAAACTTCTATGTATACACGTAGATTATCGATTTGAAACTGAATATCATTATATGCACAATGGTGAAGTTTCAAGTAGATATAGTCTGTTGTGTCGGGGCTTTATGGAAATATAAAACGTTTTCACTTACTGAAAGTAGTAGAAATCTCTCAAACACAAATGAGAGTCGTTTGAGAAATGTATTGAAAAAATATTTTCATACCTGACAGTTCTATTTCGTACATTGATCTCGTGAATTCTTCAAAACAATAATATTCTAAATTGCGAAAATACTATTTGATTAAAGTGTTTAATTCGGTCGAATACTTGTAAAAGAGTGTCCGCAATTGAAAGTTATACAGTGTATTTTTCTCTTTTCAGAACATATCATCAATGTGAGTGAGACAGACGTTATTAAGCAATTCCCTCAAGACCTTTTTCACATAACATATATTCCAATAGAAGATGAAGTTCGAGCCAATGTTAAACAGGTATCAGTAATGCAGCATGAATTAATTCTCAATCGCTTTTTCTTCTATAGTATTTTGATCGCACCAATGAATTGTTACATAGTCATTACATGAAAAAGAAAGATGTCTCGTTCAGTGTGCTGCTGGTGAGTTAAAAATTCATATTTTACCATTAAACTCGACAATAAAATCAGCAACATTGTCTTAGCATACTTAATGAAAGTAAGCTATCATGTTAATAAATAACGACGATCATTTTTATATTTTCTTCTAGTATCATCATAATAAATGTAAAGATGCTTTTCATTATCTTCTCGCAAAACGTCCTCAAATAGGGTCTAATGAGGGCTTTTTTTCTTACAGTTAATACGCTACGAAAAAGAACTAATTAGAACACGTGAAATAGTACTACCTTCTGCTGCAGAAAAGTCATCATTGAATGGCTCAAAAAATCCTATTGAAACATTTGAAGAGTTCAAGAGAAAAAAAGAACTATAAAACTTCACAAGACAACAACCAATCAGACCGAGGTGAAGAACATTGTGCAACCGTTATACTTTGTGAAAAATCAAGTTTCCAATAGGAACCATGCATCTATATTTTAAAAACTTTATCATTCAACAAATAAAAGCATTTGATTTGCGTTTGGATGCAGCGTAGGGTGATCAAATTAAACAATTATGCCAATCTTGTTTTTAAAGAAATTGTTTTTAAATACATATGTCATTAGTCCTCTATCAGGTTCATGACTAGTTAGATTCTTTAAAAATACCAGTGACATTTGTTTATTGCTACATACTTTATTTTTTTTTCTTCTCTAAAGAAAGAACATAACAGTAAAATAAAACAAATTTTCTCTGCAAATTAAATGGCGACAAATAAAACTTAGAATTTAAACTCATATCCTCAATACAGTTTCTTCAGTAATACTTTTTTCATGGATCTTCACTCCGCGTGAGTATTGTCAAAAGTTAGAAAAAACTACCGATAATCCTCAGGAAAATTTACCAATTTTTTTATTCTTTTTTTTAATTTTCGCACGTGCATGCACACAACGACTCAGGCTTAATGCAACTCCAAAGCAGTTACCTTAACTACGAAAAGGAAGAAAGAAAAGCTGCGTGTCGATTGGTGTCAGTTAGCTATCTGCACATGGTTCAGGCAAAAGAAAAATGTTACTTCCTTGAGTCAGCAGGCCATACAACATTTGGAAATTTCCAATATGATTTGAATTGGCAAAAAACAAAATAAAAACAATGTTGCGCTACTTTATTTTACAAGACTATAGCATGGCGAACATCGATACTGAGTGCTAATCTGTCTGCATATCAGGATTGTTTAAATTTTAAACATGTATCTTGATGATATATAGCACCTTTAGATACATGTATAGAATTTACGAAATGCAACTATGTTAATGTGTGAGTGTTTAATTGTCGTTCGCAAAGTTATGAAAATTTTCTTGAAAATAAAAGCAGCCCCAAGTTGTTTTTGTTATTTTTCTGCTGCTTTGCATCATAGTATACATTATGAAGCATTTTCTTTTTAGCTGATAAGAAATCTGTTGTTTTTTTCTGCGTGATTCATCTACACAGCGCACACATAACTTTATTAGTGCGCAACATTACTTCTTCTGACGAAATGACAATTTAATGATTATCATTAATATGGTCGATGGTTTTTAGAATCGGAAGGCTTAGAATTCAATGCTTATTTGAATCAGCGATTATTGGAACAAGCAAGTTCGTAGTTGAAAGCTTAGCAATACATACTGACGTATTTGATAGATCAAACAAGACAAAACTTCATTTTTCTCTTTTTACCCTCGGCAATAATGAAAAATCGTGGTATTGCAAGATCATGCTGCGAACTCCTTCACACTGGCGTTCTTCACGTGTTTCTTACTTTTCTGACGCTTTACCTGTTCGAATACAGGAGAACCCTACATATTTCTAAACTTAAGCTTATATTAGTTAGGTTAGCATTGATCTTCTTATAAATTTCACATATTACTCTCATGAAACTGCGATGTTCAGCTCTTCCAATAAAGAAAACATTTTCGGATATTTATCGTGATCAGAATCTTCATAAGTAATTCACGCACGTTTTCTAAACCAGAAGAGTTAGTTCGACGCAATAAGAAAACGAGTAAACCGATTGCAATTCTACTTTATGTGTCGACAGTGATTGACGTCGAGTTAACTTGATGATAGTGTAGATTGCGTTCTCGAACGAATTTTTCGCCATAGAAGAATAATCCAAGTTTATTGAACACTGGTTCCCCGTAGGTTTTATCATATTGTAACTGCTTTTAAACTGTAATTATATCGTTTCGCATTGAGAACGTAGCAGAAGCCTTTTCTGAAAGAATTATCCGAAGAACTCTTAGTCAGTCTTTCAATTTCTTCAATTCAGCGTGGATCAACGTAGCTACTTAATTTAATGAGAGACTATACGCAACTTATTTACATAACTCTCCAACTTATTTAGATATATTTATTAAGATGGCTACAAGCAATGAATGTTTTTTGTGTCGTCAATCCAATAAAAAACAAAGAAGTAGTATTATGTGTACAGGTTGTTCTCAACGATTTTGTCAACCACATCACAAAGAACATCGAGAATCGATCACCAAAGATTTCAATTGTCTTATAGAAGAACATAATATTCTAAGGCAACGTTTATTCAGCGAAAATGATGATAAAAATAGTACAAAATCAAGTCTATTAAAAAGAATCGAAACGTGGGAAAAAGATATGATAAAAAATATTCAGGCAACAGCGGCTACAGCTAAAACATGTGTAATTCAGATGATAAATGAAGAAAAAGATCAACTGAAAAAAACCTTTACATCAGCGGCTAACGAATTAAAAGCAAATCAAACAGGCAATGATTATGTCGAAACAGATGTTCAAGAATGGCGAAAACAACTGAACGACTGCCAACAAAAATTCGAGAAACACTTATTATCAAATAATAATTTTATTGATATTGCTATAGCACCATTGGATTTTGAAAATAGTATTTCTATCAATCGACACAATGAAATAAAAATATCGACAAGATTTAATCCTGCGCCACCAAGACTCATTAGAAACGAACCAAACATAGATTGTAAAAGCTGTGACAGATCTTTTCCTAAAAGCTCGGGATATGTTGAGTTTTGCTCAGAGGACTGTTCTAACAACTACACAACAAATCATTCAAGTTACGACAGCTCTGATGATGATCGTGGTAGTGGATGTTTTCATGGAGATTCTGTGGTATTATTGGCGAATGGACTCTTGAAGCTGGTGAAAGACATTCGTCGAGGTGACGCTCTTAGAGCTCCTGGTGGTTTAGAATCTACCATCACTCATGTTGTTAAGATTAAATGTGCAAAAGGTAAAGCATCGATGGTTACTTTAGATAGTGGTCTTGTTATTACGCCATGGCATCCAATAAGAATCGATGGTAATTGGAAATTCCCTCATGATATTCGTCATGAAAAAGAAATTGAATGTCAAGAAATGTACAATTTCGTTCTCGACAAATGCCATATTGCCATTATAAATGGTTTCGAGTGTGTCACGTTGGGACATAATTTTAAAGGAGAAGTTATCGAACATCCGTATTATGGAACAGAAAAAGTTGTGGATGATTTATGCGCCATGGACGTTTTAAAAACTGGTTTCATTGAACTGCAATCGCATTCAACTATTCGAGACAGTAAAACAAGATTTGTAACAGGAATTCGTATAATCAATGAAAAGTTTCATCCGTCGACACTTCTTTCGTGCTGACATGGTCCTATTGTAAACATTCTAAATTACGGCAAAGATATTTTCACTGAAAATTGGCAGAAACTCATTTTTTTTTATTCTTGTCTGCTATTGTCAACACGATTAATGATATCTTTTTGAATAAAAACGTTTTTTCCTTTCTAGACATAATCATTTGTCGAACTTACTACAGAACAATCTTTGACTTTAAACAATGGTAAAGAATTTCGAGGGAAAAAACACACTGAAAATATTATCAAATAGTTGACAATAATTCACAATAGCGATGGATCAACAATGTCAATATTCTTTTTCGTTTTAGAGAATTCTCTTCAGTCTGTTATCTCAATGACAACCAAGCAACCGCCGATGTGCAACGATAATGGGAGCATCGATATTGCTGCTCAAGAATCCTTTCACATTAAAGATAAATCTGATTTAATTGAAGCACAAAACGAGCATGATTCATCGTCGATTAATGACGAGTTGATATATGGAAATAATAAAACTATTGAAGAAAAATTCAATGAAATTCTTCTTCAAGTTTCGGATGGACTACAAAATGCAAATGTATTGTGGAATTTAAATGCAACTGTTCATCCTCATATTGGCTGTTTACCTTTTCTTTTAATACTCAACTCGATGGATAAAGTAAACAAAAGATTGACTCTGATTTATAATATGTATGCCGATGCTGATGAATCAAATGATGAACTTTCTGAACAGGATTCGAAATCAGCATCTTGCTATGAAATATTTAGTAATTTTAATATTGGTACTTTAATGAAATTGGATGATATATTTTATACAAAAGATTATCAGAAAAGTTTGTTTCGTCTATCGAATTGCATTAAAATTAGTGATGTTATCGAATGTATAAATAAGAAAATGGAAAAAGCCATCGATATTAATAGGGCATCTTCATCGAATTTTATTTCCATGGTTATAATATTGAACAACATTATTTATCTCGATATATCCCATGTACTTATTAACGAGCATGAATTACCATTATACGAATGTTTTAAAGCGTTATTGTTCGAGCATTGTGGAAGAACATTGCATATTTTAGTGATACCAACGTGCCCTAATTTATCGGAAAATAAAATCGATCCCATGAGTCATATTTCATTAGATTTAGCTCAAGCTGGCCATATTTTATGTTTAGAACCTCGATTAAAGGCTATGATGTGTAACTATTTTATTACTATCAATAGCGTCTTCTCACATCAGCAAAAATCATTTGGTACTGATGTGAATTTTGTTGATATTATCGAAAATATAAAGAAAAAAATTTCATTAAAATCAAACTTACACAACAGCCGTTCAATATATATAGCTGTCAGTTTTCTTACTGATCAATTTCATGTTTTAAAAAGCCATTGGAAAAAGAATACCAGCAAAAAAGACTCGCATACTGGTACCGCAAAAAGTATAGATGGCATCGAAGGAAATCAAAAAGGATATGAACCTGAATTAGGAGGAAAATTTATAATTATAAACTGGTCAAGCAAAGAAATCATTTATACATTAGATTTGGATGCACCGGCCGGATTCTTTATTGATACTAATCATTTATATATCGCAAATAATCGTTTAAACTATATCAGCGTTATTGATCTGAATACACGTACGGAATTTCGACGTATTAATAATAGAGCTTTTAATTGCTTACATAGTATTCAATATACGGAAAATCGAACAATACTAGTCACTAGTACAGGTATCGATGCTATTCTTGAAATAAACTTAGGAGGTGAAATACTGAACGATTGGTATGCAACTGAACATGGATATATAACAACACCGAAAGGTAAACAACGACATATATCACGAGACTTCGATCATCATCATTATACATATCCGACACTTCATCAGACAACTCATGTTAATTCAGCGATGATTTTGAATGATAAATATTTTTTAGCTACGCTGTTTCATCAAGGCTCATTGGTTAAAATTGATCGTCATAGTGGAAGATCAACCGTTTTACTTTCAGAACTTCATTGTCCACACGGAATTAAACGTTTAAAATCCATGAAGGAACACGACATCGACTGGATGTTATGTAATACAAAACGAAATGAAATTCTTTTTCTGAATGATTGTTTTACAGTAACTCGCAAAATGTTTCTCGAAGATGTTCATTGGCTACAAGATGCATCACAAATTCAAAACGGAAATATTATTATTGCTGATGCAAACAATTCAAGAATTATTGAAATAGATCCCATTTTGAATACTGTTACTAGTGAATTTAATTATTCAACTGATTGGCGTATCTATCAAATTAGCGATCTTAACGATTTTCAGACCAGTTTTATTCCTACTCTATGTAAATAAATCAATTTTTACTTGAATATGCTGCATATTAGTGGCGGCGCCAGGGGTGGGCTGGGGTGGGCTAAGCCCACCCTAAAATTTTTTGAGCCCACCCAGAAATTTTTTAAGGTTTCTGAAAAAATCGATGATCATTTTATAGAAGTGATGCCCCAGCATACGACTGCTAGCTATGATAAAGATAAAGATAAAGAAAGATTCTTACGTATTTTCTATTGGATGACGATTGAAAACAGGGTTGCCACCTCATCAGATCCAAAAAGCGGCAAATAGCTGGAAAAAATGGAAAGCTGCTGTTTCGAAAATTTTTTTATCTTCCCAAAAATATTCCTTCTGTAATACTGAAATGGCGGTATTGGAACTATCAGTTCACGAGTCTACGAAGTGAATATGCCACTGAAGGCAGCACCTTTTTAACACAGGGNTAGATATTGATAAGACAATTCTGTGCACAAAATTTCAGCTCAATCGAATGTAATTGTGAAGAGTTATCGAATAAACGGACGGCCGGACACACTGACCGATTCTATAGTGTACTCTATTTTTTTTGAGTACACAAAAAAGAAAGTTTGTTTTTAGTGAAAAAGCGGAAGGTGTGGCAACCCCGCCCAAAAACTACTCCAAGCCTTCTATACCTTCATGCGAACTATTTAGCATGGAATAAGCAACAGTTTTGACTGATCCAAAAATTCGACAAATTTTCCATTCATTTTTTCAGTTTTCAAAACTAAGGTAGTTCGAGCCCACCCTGGTAAAAATTCGGAGGGTCTGAGTCCACCCTAGCCTGAATTCCTGGCGCCGCCTCTACTGCATATGGCAGGTAGAACAAGCTACGGGTAATGTCACAGATTTAGATCAGTTTATAGGCTTGCACGAGAACAAATACAATTGGTGAATGTTATGATTCGTTTTGATCTTATGAATCATACGAGATAGTGCAGCGAGTTGGAAAGACCACAGAACGAAGAAAAAGATAACTCTTCACGGGACTCGAGTCACGTACCTTCTGCTATCTGGGCAGATGTCTTCAATCAGTAGACTAGAAGAGACATTTTATCTTCGTCTTATGATCGGATAAGGATCAGATCATAACAGTGAAAGAAACACTCAAACGTATGCAAGGGTTTTTCAAATTTTACAAAAAGAAAGGGTTTCCTTTTCCATTCAGCTATCGTTATTTATTCTTAACAAAAAAAAAAGAATAAGTTGCAAACGATAATCATAGAAAGGACGTGCAGTCGATAGTAGCTTTTGCGTAATGAGATCAAGGATGCACAATTATCGATGCAATCGTGATTCATATCGCACAAATCGCCTGTATACTTTTGTTTCTTGTATATTCTCTCTTGTGTAGTATATTTGTAGTCGAATAAGCCAAACGATTGTTTTCTTTTCTCTTGTTTTTCTACGCTTCGAAATCGATAAAAACCTAAGCAGCATTAACGGGTTGTAGCGTTTATACTCATTGCATAAGACATAACAATGTTGTTATGACATTTGTCTTTCAATGTGGTGACATGGAAAACGATTAGAGAACGAATAACAATCCACTTCTGGGAAAAAAACAGAAACTTCGATAGCAAGTAGATACTTCTCAGGTTAGTCGAATTGATAATGATAAAATATTTGACTACACAAGTTAAGTTTACTTAAAACACATTTACCAACAAATAAATTTGAAATCTTCAAAAGCAATCTTTATCATAGATTCAAATCTAATCAATCGTCAGTCACTTATGATTAGATATTCGAAAAAGAATTTAGAGGTTAAATTTAAACAATGTGTGGCTCGAATACTGCTACGAGTAGCTGTGTATTGAAACAAGATTTACGCCTACATTCAAATAAGTCTATAAGAGAATTAGCGAATCTAAATCTGATGAGTATATCAAATGTCTAGAACTCTGTTGAAAGTGAATATCGACAAAAACACAAATCAGAGAACTACTTAACATGCAATGTCTTTCTAAATGACTAGGGTTAAGTTCGACTGTTTAATCGTAATAAGTGCTATTGAAACTATCTCTTTCATGGAAAAAATTTTAAGAAATAAATTGACTTCAGCTAAATATTTTTACATGTCAAAACCTCTCAACAAAAATATTATGGAACACTTTTCAATAATCGTGTCTTAAAAGTTTCTACCATATAATCGACAGTAACATTTAGTATGCCTCGCATTAATATCATTTATCTATTTTCTTGTTATTATTTACGCTCAAAACAATACAACATAAGCCTGCTTTTTTTTCATGCACAATTGTAAGCATCCATAGTCTAATATGCAAAAAAAAACAAAAGTATAATAATCATAATATTGGTCATAGTGTTTGTTAATTGATTTTAAATATTAATCATTTCTTCGCTGTCGAGTTCAACTTTAATAAATATTGCATCATCTTTAACATAATTAAATTTCGTCATTACATCTAGATCGGCAAATCGTGGACATCCAAAACTTGCATTTCTCTCTGCTATTGGCCGACCTAAAAATGGATTATTTTCTTTGCATACATTTGGTTTAACCGAGCTGCTTAAATGACGACGATTGTTGACATCTTCATTTTGATCAAGTAACGTAAACGTAACACGATGTGAAAATGGCCAAGGTAATAGAGCATCATAATCACCATGATGAATACAAATAAACAAAGATACGTATTTTCCTTTAGCTAAATTAAGTGACATGAAATGTCATCACGTATGAAGAAAAACGAAAGTACCCTTAATATTTACCTTTTCCATCTCCAAATAAACAAATTGAGAGTCCTAAATAATAGCCATGTCGACTTGTTAAAAATGTTGGACTATAGAGAGTTGATTTTTTATTTGTAACAGCTTCTTGAAATTTCTCCTAATAAATACAAAAAATTATAGAATTAGAAATTTTTGTTTTTAAATATAATTATCTATACGTGATAATTGTCAATTCTCCATATATATTGTGCTCCATAGGTTTTTTCCAGAGCATTTACTTTCCGTGATAATAAATCAATGCATATTTTCTGTTCGTTAGAACGTTCTTCGTATAATTTTATTAATTGCTTTTGTATTGAGATTGTCTTTCCGGCTAAATTTAAATGAATACCAAGTGATTCTTTCATATGCTGAATAAATGCTGTTCGATCACCGCGATATTCACAGCCACAATCATTAAATGGGCACGAAATTTCTTGTTTCAGACATTCAGCATCTAGATGATTTTTCAACTAGAGAGAAATAAAAGATTTCGCTATTTTTTGTATTAAAATAAAATAGTTAACAAATTTTTTTTCATATTACTTGACTGCGTGGAAAGTTTTCTGTGGAACATTGATTTGGACATGGTATTTTAAATTCTGAACAGGCAGAAAAATGAGAAATTTCATCTTCAAATATGATTTTTGTATGACCTAAATAAATGCTTTTTTGCTTTTATGAATCTTGAATCAATCTCACAAGGTGAGAACTCATTTTTCTTACAAAATTCACAATCAATTATTCGCTTTGCACAATCTTCAGTTTGATGTTTACTGAGAAAGCGTCTTTCAAATTTTACGCCACATCCATTCAAACAATTCGTTAACATGAATCCACATGTTTCAAGATGTACAGAAAAATCGTGTAATATTCCGAACCAATCACAACCTTTGATTTTATATCCACAATAAACTTCTAGATTTTGAACTTCTTTTTCTAGATCGTTAGCATTCGTTATTCTATCTTTCGATATTGGTTGTTGACAAGTAGGACAACGTGACGCAACACTAAGTAAAATAAATATATTTAATTTAGTGAAGATTTTTATCTCTACCGTATAATATCCGGTAAGCAACTTGAACAAGCGTGATGTCCGCAATTTTCGAATTGAATTGGAAATCGTAAATAATTACTACATGATGAACATCGATATTTCAGTGGAAGTTCACCGATTTTCCATTGTGGTTGTAATTCAACTTTCCTATACAAAAGAAATTCATTTCAATCATAGTTCAATAAAAACTATTGAAACTAAACCTGCTATCGGCAATACTTATATAAGCACTTTTAGTCATCGTTTTGAATTTCGTTTTGCTCTTGTTTGACAAAATATACTCTACACGTTCTACTATTCTACTTGAATAAACTTTTATTTCTAATGATCTACTCAGATGCACCAGTTGTTAAATAGACTGAGCGTGATAACAGAAAAAAAGCAAATAACAGTATAATAAATATCGACGTCATTTTTTTTCATACGATACAGTGTCAACAGAAGTTTTTAGTTTTAAAAACATAATTTACGGTCTAGCAGCACTTGTCATTCGGTGTAATAGATCTTTTGGCGAACCCGTACGACGTACTGATAATAGAGATCCTTCATATACAGAAATATTAATTGGAGACGCTGTCATTGCAGCAAAAGAGCTTTTATTAAAACAATTAAAAGTTCTTTAAAATACGTTAATGAGTATAGTGTCTTTTTTTAAATAATCTTTTTTGTTTCATTATTTCTCTTCAGTGCTTCAAATATTAATTTCTAGCTTTTTTCTCTCTGTATTCTTTCTATGACTTAATATAGACATTACGTCTATTCAAAAAATAAATAATAAATATGTTTCCACAACAGAAAAAAAAGCTTGTTTCTTATTCAAATAAAATATGACCTGGTTTAAACAAAAAATCATATTCACACATATTTATTCACGTATTAAAAACAAAACAAAAAATTATATTGAATGTTGATAACAAAGAAGTCATCGAACAATTATGCGTTGTTTTTACTCGAAGCGATCGATTCTATTGAATAGAGTTGCATCATGATGACGGTTCAATCTGGCACTATTGATATATGCATATATTGTATACAATTGGAGCGTAATGTTAATAGATCAACAAGGAAAAATGAATATGTCACTGATTTCTTTTTCTTATGCTCGATCAAACGTGCTAAAACGACCAATATACGTACATATATATGTAGACTTCTTCTTATACTCGTTATGTGTTCTGTTACTAATCATATTAATATTCAGACATGTTTTTTGTTCTTCATATAAAAGCAATGTTTCTATTGCTGATGTTCAAAAGACAAAAGAACTATTATATTGCGTATAATAGCTATCGATTGAAAGTACAATCAATAGTATCAGTACAAACTACAATAATTTAAAAGAATTATATTTTTCGTTGCATCTTTGTTTTGAGGCGGCGAGAGGAAAAAAATATTAGGTCACGTACGATCGCAGCATTCAGTTTTCTTCTCCGTCTTAAACGTTTATTTGATTGATTACTATTCAGTATCTATCTTAGATTTTCATCTTCGCTCATTATTTAAGCAGTTTATTGAAAAAAACGAATGAGAAGGACAGCTGACAGTGAAAAGTGCACAAATGAATATTACATTTATTCTGCATTAGCTTGAATAATAAGTCATGCTACTTATGCCCTTTCTCTCTTCTTCGTTTTCTTTTTTTGATTTTGATTTGGCCTTGACTTGATGAAGTGTGACTATCTTCGTTATCATGCCTATCTATTAAAAAACTGTACTCTTTTCTCTTTATCGATGCATGTTTATGTTTATTAGAAGCTCTGCTGTTTTTTCTATACAATAATTACTATTCATCGTATCGATCAATATTGCCAAGGAAAGACGGATTGTAATATTTACATACATCAGGTAAATCAAAAATGATTACATATTTTTTATTCACTTTATACGCGTGTGATATACCACCTTTCTGATGAGTGGAAGAAAGAACTGAGTGACATAATAAAAATAATTTTCGTTGTTCACATTAGATCCTTGAGAAGAAGACTCAAGTGAACGACAACCTCAATAGGAAAAAGAAATAAAAAGACCGATTATTTTATACTTCTCATTTTTTTTTCTCTCTGTTATACGTTTTAAAAAGTGATTTCCCACCGTAACCATCACATCAATACATATATTCTGCTCCGTCAATAGCAAAAAATTACGGCCAATGTGAGTAAACGAGATTGACTTTTTATATAACATATTTTCATGTACTACAGTTAAAACCGATAAGAATTTATCTATATCGTGGTGCATGCAGAAATCATGTTCTTTGTCTAGCTAAGTAACTGGTGCATTTTGATCGAATCCGGCTGCTCGTATATGCTAATCAAAACAGTCTGTGCCTTGTTAAGTGTCTTCTTATTCTCCGTTTGTTGTCAGAACCAGTTAGTATTTTATTAAGAGCAACTCAAGACATAGAGAGAAAGAAGAAAAAGGAGATCATGAGTGAGTGATTATGTATATATATATATATATATAAATCAAGAAAAAATATAGACAAAGAACAAGACAGATAGAGATCGCCATCCGATTTTTTTTCTCGTTTGTTGTTGTCAAGATAAGCAAGAATAGAGTAAAAGAAACCAGATGACGATATACGATAAGAAATATCTCTAATCGAGATGCTCGACAAATAGAGGAAAAGAGCATGAATGACAAGCAAGTTCTTTTGTCTCTGTTTATGTATCGTCTAAAGATCATCTATTGTTGGCACTATTAGTAAACAACAATCATCATTCGATGTCGTGTTCTACGTCAATAAAATCAACAAAACAATATTTTCGAAAGGTATTACAAGAAATCTAATTTAGTGGTTACAGAAAATCTAATTATCAAATATCATGGTGGATCATGTGCTCGACCTCTATTCTTCTATCTGACAGGACAGTAGCAGTTACTTTTGTCTGCAACGAAACTTTTACCATATCTGTCATTTGACTTCTTTTTCTTCATATCTATCCCAACACATAATAATCAATATCATTTTATCATCGTCATACATGCAATTCTATAAATCGTGTGATGTGCTATCAACAGCCATGTATTCTTTTTTTATCAATTAATATTCTTTTTGTAATTAATATGATAATATCGAATTTTGTTTTTTGCATTTGATATTTAGAAAATGACTCCCAATTGCTTCGATATCATGTCATCATCAGCGACAGATTCATCCTCAAGTTTATCTATGCCTATCATACCGTCATCGCCAATGAATGCGCATCATACAGGTGGCCATATTACATGCGTTATAATCGGTGATAGTAGCGTTGGAAAATCTTCATTAGTTGTTAGTTATACAACAAATGATTTTCCTACACAATATGTACCAACAGCATTCGATAACTATTCTGTTGATGTTTCCGTTGGTACTCGACTTGTTCATATTGATATTTGCGATACAGGAGGAAAGGTAAATAAATAATCGTTCTGATAATAAGGATTGTATGACTGATCTTTTACTGTATAAACAAAACTTAAGCGAACGTGTTGTAAATCTTATAATGAATTTCACTATATGAACATTTCGTTACCACTATCAGTTTATTAATTAATCGATTAACAAAACAAAACAAACATTTGTTTTCTTTTATCTACACATTCTAGGAACAATTTTCATCCTTACATGGCCTTTGTATCCCGTACAGTGATGTTATATTACTCTGCTTTAGTGTTGTGAATCGACAATCATTTCACAACGCAATAACATATTGGCTATCGCGTGCTCGTCGTTCCAATGCAAGAATTCCAATTATACTTGTTGGTACACAAATGGATTTACGATCCGATTTAAAAACATTATTAACGCTTGATCAACAAAAATTAAAGCCGGTGACGGAAAAAGAAGCACGTGCATGCGCCCAACAAATACACGCATGCACTTATATTGAATGCTCGGCATTAACAGAGAAAAATTTAAAAACTGTTTTTGATACGGCAGTCTTAGCAGCACTTGAATTTTGCGATGCAAACACAACATTACCACTTCCATCAACATCTACTGTACCATTAATTGAACAACAAAATCAAACAAATAATAAACAACAAAAACATCGCCGTACGCATTCAACTAAAACTTGGAGAAAATTAGTATCCGGATGTATTGGCGTTTGAGAAATGCTATATTTAAATGTGTGTTTATGTATTTTATGGCTTCTTTTCATTTCTTCTCATTTCGAATGTCTAACCAGAGACCAATTTATTTTTGACTATATCTAATTCATATATCAAGAACAATATTTATTAAGATATTTAACCAAGAGCTATTTTAACAATAGTAAAGTTTTCAAGAAAAAAAAAACATAAATAAACCTAAATCTATGGTGTAGAGTAGAAATACTAATGCTTTGAAAGCGTGTCTATCTCAATAAATCAGCGATATATTTTTTTTTATCAAACTAAATCATGTTAAAAAAACTAATCGTTATTAATTTAAGCATACAGCATAATTAAAACTTTGAGATATTGAAATCAATAGTTCTCATACGAATGCAATGACTGCTAATTGGCTGATTTTACGATGAACAGCAGAAAGTATTCATAAAAAACACTTCATTATTTTTCTCTTCATGTGTCATAATTCGGCAGCTTCCAGCATGAGAAATCTTGCAGAAAAAGTCTTCTCAAAGCTCAAACAATATATTTAGTAAATATATTATCTAACATAGGTTCTGGTGTTTTTCGGACCTAAGATTTTTGCAAGAGTCGTACGCATACGCTTGTTGTTTGGTTACCATTTAATATCATCTAAGACAGTTTACTAGCAAAATGTAATCGTAACAATAAAATAGATACGACAAGATCTTCAGTAATTCATCATAGATTCAATTGTAGAAATGATGAAATAAATATTTTTTTATGATGGCAAAAGCTTATTGTGATGATAGATTTCTCAAATGTTATTAAACAGAATAAGACTAGATTTTCTCGTTCGTCTGATTATTATCTTCTGTGATAATATCGGTCGTAAATCTTTTTCATTTGTATTGTGTATTTTTGAGTCGAGAATAGCCAAGAACAACAATAATCTTACTATTTTTATGTCATATTTACTCGTTACAAAGCAAAAATTGTAATGATATCGATCTATCATCTTTCTAATATCGAGTTTGACAGTTATAACATAGAGTTTTTGTCAAGATTACAATCCGTATATTATATTCTTTTATATATAAACGTTTTGAAAAAGATTATCTATTATTCATTTAACTTTGTTATTTTAATCATTTTTTAGTTTCGGTGATTCCTTCAAAGTTTACAACCTGATTTTTGACTTATCGGCAAAAAACCTACAGTTGCTGAAACTTTGGCTAACTAGATTTTAGACAAGACATTCAATGTTCATTGAATCAATCGGATTGATCAGCAGGTAAACGTTAGAAAAAACTCATTGTTGAATTATTTAGAATAATTGAATACAACTGCTGATTTGTAAGCTGTGGTGTTTTAAACGTGGCCGAACTATGGAGTATTGAAATAAATGGTTTATCCAGCTGTTGATATACGAATACATGCTGTCGAATGAATAATATCTCGTTATAATTTATGAGCTACTTCCATGGAAGGATATCTAGAGGATTCAGCAAAAAGACTGACGAATCACAGTGATTTATACAGATTTTTCTCTACAGGAGGGCAAATTTAGTTGCCGGCATGTAAAGCACATCTTGCTTTTAGAAACGCTAATATCATAATTATTAAATTAATTGCAGCCAAGTACTGTGTTATTTAAGCCATTTAAATTAGTTTTCCCATTAATTATCCCAATAATATACATCAGAAAAAAGATAAAGTTTGACCGCTTGACAGTTTGGGATCGAATAAAAAAATCGAATTTGTGATAAGCGTTTTACAATTTTCTGCTTGATTATTTTAGAAAAGAAAGCTTTGTCTAGCTATTGTTGAATGACGCCTTCCTATGCTACAAATTCAGTCAATTAAATGTTTTTTTAGGCTTTTTATCTCATTCTCTAAATTGTTCTTGGGCTAAAAACACGACTAATGTGTTGGTAATTGTTTCTTAGCTACCAGCTGTTGTTGTCAGAAATGCGTGGTGTGCAAATGGCAACTTTTCTACGACGTAAATACACAAGTGTTGCTATTTTCAGAGCGAGTACGCTCGAGATTGCTTCCGATTTGGTTGAGAATAGGTTGTGATATCCTAGTATGATGATTGAGATGGATATGCGTGAGAACAATGTATCGTACCTACAAAATGTATGTATGTCTAATAATTAATGGTAGTAGCATCCGTATCCAGATCTACATCTTCAAGAGATTAAATCCAATTATTTGGATGATGTTTATCGATCGTCATTAAAGCAGTTGTTTCCGAAGAAGGTGACGTGATAGTAGATGGAAAAGGGAAAGCACCAACTTCATCCGAATTATCTGATATAGTTCATTGTTGTAAAATTTTAGAAAAAAGCAAATCAGATCAATTTGTGGTTGAGAACGATCAAATCGAATGTTTTTCCATTGTACTTTTACAAGACCATAAAAAGGGAAAGGATCCAGAGTTCGACTCTGTAATCAATTGAATATCTACTATTTATAGAGTATACTATCATTAGTAGATACAGGGACGGCGCGAAGCAATAAAAGTATAGGGGGGTTACTTGAAAACGGGAGTTTTTTTTCAGAATCGGAGGAAATCAATAAAAGTCTCTTCTATTTTCTTCAAAAATCGAAGGAAGTCAATAAAAATTTCTTCTATTTTCTTCAAATCGGAGTAAAATTGAAACAAAAATTTCCAAAGTTGGGGGGGAGGATCCCCCAACCACCTCCCCCCCCATTCGTGCCGTCCCTGTGTAGATATGTGAAATTTTTTCAAAAATAAGCTATTGAATATGCTATTCGATTTCTGCATGAATATCCAATAAAGTAATATTTAAGTGATGTATTACATTCGTCAAGTGCCTTAGCTCCTATGCTAAATTCTCAAGTAACTAGATGCAAAAGTGAGATCTAAACGTGTTCAAATAGCAATTTAAGACAGAAAATTTGATTTAAAACAAAGACAGATGAATCTGTTGATTTCAATGGAAGACCATTGCGAAAATCTTTCAAATGTAAATCTATTATGATGATATAGAGCTTGTAAAGTTATCTACGCATAGGTTATTTCTTAAATTTTCAAATCAATATTTATCAATGTTTGATGGTAAGCGAATACAATTGAACTGCATGATAAGATAAAATAAGTTAAGGATCAGCCTAAAATGAATAGCTTAATGAATAGGTACTTTCGTCTCCGAAGGATATCTTCCAAACGCATCAATTGTTTACATGAACCGATTTGCATAACTATTTTTAAGTAGTTAGAATCGGTACAAATATTCCGACAACGTTACGGGCTGGTTTAGCATAGACTTTTCTTTTCAGGGGGGAATCAGATTTTCCCGAGATCAATATCAATGTCTCAGAAAACTGTGAAAAGCTTGCACGATGAAGAGTACATTTTCACATGCGACGAACAAGGAAAATTCTAATTGTTAGTCATAATTTTACACTCACTTGAAATCAACACGTAATTACACAGATGTAGGAATTCTTCTATGTCGTGTTTACAGAAGACTACTAACGATTTTTGAATATCTTTGGGAAAATCGAAACATTTCAAATTCTTATATTACACATCTTTTCAGTGCTTCCATTGAAATTCAATTAAGTATCAGCTTAGGAAATACAGGCAGAATGTGTGTCGAACACCCAAACTCAAATATCTATAATGTCGCTGGTATCTTCTATGACTTCTTCGCTAATGCTTACCTGAGTTCTCGCCGACACTCTATGAAAGCCTTATTTGAATATTTAACCCTAATCCGACCACCTCTATAAACGCGTATATTGTACTATTCTAAGTTGGATGAGGTTCAAACTTAATTGTGAGCGTTTAACTTTTCAATTCATGTAATACTGAAGCAGAGTATCATATACCATCAATCTATAGAATTTTTGTCCATTTGAGACGTACTCGTAAAAAGAACAAGACACACTTTCAGAATTCTTATTTTGAGTTGGGGTCCGTACGGACCCCAGGTGGGTGGATTAGGGTTAATCATTGTTCGCTGTAAAATTGATATGGTTATCTGCGTTTTTCTATTCTATTGTCTCTTTCGGAAAAATACGTGTATTCTTCATGAAATATACAGGTAAATATTACTGTCATGTATAATTTCGTATATAATCAAAATATATAAAAAGTATGTTCTTACGCTTGATACATTCAGACTTTTGTATAAATGCAAATTGATTAGTCAAATATGAATTATCGACATTTTTTTACTATATCAAGAAAGTACCCATGTAACAATAACAACTATCTACATAGTCTGAAAGACCATATAAATAGAAATTGAGGTCTTCCAAATTTTTGGAAAACTTTTCTAACACTTCAGTGATCGAATTTTTTAGAATCAAATGAAAATATCGGTCAATGAAAAACATTAGACTTGAAGAAGGCATTTCTTTTTATTGTGCATTTCTATTCTTTATAAAAATGGAATTGAATTTAAAATAAAAATATATCTGTTGTGATTTTATTTTTTATAATATAAAATATGAAAATGCAATGAGTAAGTAAACAATGAGAAAAATTTAGCACAATCTAACTATAAAATAGACTAGACATAAGTTTAAACGATTTGATCGTGGTTGATTCTAGTTAAATAAATCATCCAATTAATATGAACTGTACTTAAATGATTGCTCGTCGTATTATATTTATGAGACAGCAGATAATGATAGTAGTAGGCCACATTAGTTAACACATCGCTAATAAAAATTAAACCGATCTTGAAGGATAGAATATAATTAAATAAACACATCTTGCAAATTATAATCCCTTAAATAAAACAATTAGGATCATCTAATACGCCATGGAGAACTATCATAGCGATACTTTAGGATAACAGGACGAAGGTTCCGATATCTATCAAAATAAAGTTCGTTACGGTGAAGTATACCGCTATTACAAATGTTTACAGCAGTTAAAAATGAACAGTATTATTTGTATTTTATGGCAGTAAATACAGCGTTTTCTACAATTAAAAGTCATCTTTGATCAAATTTTGTTGCCAATCACTACCTTATCTAGTACTAGCTTCGCCCAT